AATATATTCTACAAAATATATTGTCAATATTTAAGTGTGGACTTACAAAAATATTATACAGCATTAAATAGAGTATATTAAAATATTACCAATGATAGTCAAATTTATAATTATGGTTTCTTTCAGAATGGCTAATAAATTTAAATACTCTGAAGAACAAATGCGATTGGCTTTGGAAGATGTAACTTCTAAATCATTATCTTTAAATAAAGCTTCAGTTAAATATAACATACCCAAATCAACTTTATCTATGAAATTATCAGGAAAGACTCCTTTAATTAGAAAAATGGGCCCTTGTTCGTTTTTGAGTGATGAAGAAGAAAACCGAATAAAAGCTTGGATTTTAAATAATGCTACACTTGGTTTTCCTTTAAAAGAAGAAGACGTTAAAGACTCTGTTCAAAAAGTGATCAAAGATTTTCCCAGGACTACACCATTCAAAGATTCCAGACCTGGAGAAAAGTGGATGAAATTATTTTTAAAAAGAAACTCAGAAATTACCAAAAGAAACACTGAAGTAATTTCCAAAGCTCGGGCAGCAGTAACTGAAGACAAAATTCGGGATTGGTTTCAAGAGTTAGATAATTTTCTTATAAACGAAGGTTGTCGGGATGTCTTAGATGATCCAAGTAGGATATTCAATTGTGACGAAACCGGTTTKCAAACTTGTCCTAAATCTGGCAGAGTATTAGGTCCAAGGCATATTAAGGACTTTTATGAAATCGCACAAGGACACGAAAAAGAATGCATAACCGTATTATGTATTTATTCTGCAGATGGTACTGTTCCACCACCAATGGTAGTTTACCCATACAAGAGAATCCCTACTTCATTAATGACAACATTTCCTAATAATTGGATGATTGGAAGGTCAGATTCTGGATGGATGGTCAGTAGTACTTTTTTTGAATTTATTTCAAATGGTTTCTTTACATGGTTAGTTAACAATAAAGTAAAATTTCCTGTGATACTATTTGTTGATGGCCACAAAAGCCATTTAAGTCTGGAATTGGCAGATTTTTGTGCTCAAAATCAGATTATTATATATTGTCTTCCTCCAAATAGTACACATATAATGCAACCATGTGATGTAGCCATTTTTAAGCCTCTAAAAGCAAGCTGGAAAAATGTTGTTGCAAAAAATAAAAGGTCTGGTAATTCAATAACTAAGAATAATTTTGTAAACCATTTTCAAGAAGCGTTTGACTCTGTACAAACAAGTTCAATCGTGAATGGTTTTAGAAAGTGTGGATTATATCCTTTTAACCCCAATGCCGTTGATTTTTCCAAATGTATTTCATATCGGAGAAATATACTGTTTCCAACTACAAATAATGATTCGAGCTTACAAATTCCTGTTAAAACTTCATCAGAAGAATATAAAGCTGCATTAAAAGTGTTTGAAAATTATATTGGAAGAGCAAATACTGAAATATTTGAAAAAAAATTGCAAGACCCTCTTCTTGAAGCTGAAAAATCGCCATCCTTATTTGATTTTTGGGTTAAAACTAAAAAAAATACTGAAAATCTTAATATTGAAGATATGCCAGTTGAAATTGCATATGATAATAGTGATAATCAGATGTACGAATGTGATTTTGATTTATTGGAGCATCATAACATGATCTATGGTAACTATTTTTTAATATTCTAAAGATTAATTTCTTATTAATTAATCAATTAATTAATGTATACATTTTTSTTTTAGAAATTGAACAACCTAGTGCTGGGAGTACATATACTGAAAATAATAATATTAATAATTTAACAACTGAAGGTGTGGAAATTAATTTAGATGATGTTTTTAAAGTAAATGAGACTGATAATATCATAT